TAGAGGGGAATTGAATGCATGTCTCGAGTGGAATGCTCTCTAGGCAGGGATTCTCCGCCATTCCAATGTGAAAATCAAAAGCCATTTTTACATAAATTTTTTTTGTTTCTTATACAGTTTTTTATTGAATTCATAGTTTTTCGGAATTGCATGCCTCTTTTCAGTATTCGTGTTGATCGGTATATGGAATATGTATCTGTATCTCTGCAGTGTCTTTATTCGTGGTGTATCTGTGTGTGTTTCTGTGTGTGTATATCCCTTCCGTTTCGGCTATCAATTTTATTCCAAAAACCTCATGCACTCTTAGTATTCATAGTTTTTGTTTTTTTCTTTTGGAATCACTCATGTAGTGAGGGTGTTCATGCCACAGCATTCCCATTCGACAGGACATTCATTGTTAAGCGAGATGATATGGCGGAGTCTCCAATGCGACAAACCACACGAATTTGTTACCAGTATTAATGTTACACCGATAAACAATGCTTTTTTTAGAGCTCGGAACTGTATCTTATCCTTAAACATTAAGAATCACTCATTTTGAATGGTCTTTTGTTCGTCTTAGGCAAAACGAACGTAGCCTTTCGCTTATGGGAACATTTGAACAGCAAAACAACGTTCGACTACCGCTTGTGCTGTGGCATTATGATGTTTCCCTCCTTCGAACGAGCATGTATCGTATCATATATGGATTCTATATATATCTGATCTTTTCTGATGTTACTGTATAAGTATTTCTGTATTTTTTTATTTTTTTTTTTTATTTATGAATCGTAATATTTTTGAAAGTGTTCCATTTTTTTATCGCTTTGGAAGGCAACACACACATATACCATAGATATTTTGTTCGGGGCAAACCATAAGTTTTTTTTTTTATATTTAATTCACATTTAAAATTGTTTTTTTTTTTTTTTTGTTTTTGCAATTTTTCGCCCTTAAAATTCTGTATTGTAACACATTTATTTTTTTAAAAATTGTATTTTCTCTTTTTTTTTCTTTGTGTGTTTTCCTTTTGGATAGCGATTTCTCTCATTAATTAACTCATTTTTGAGGGGTGGTTGGCGGGGGGTTAAACCATATAATAACAGTAAAATTAATATACAGACATATCGAATCGAACATAAATTCCTTTCGGGGTTCAACACATTTTTAATTATCGCTTATCGTTAACGGTATCATTATCATCATTACAGTGATACCCTCGATTTCTTTTTTTTTCATTCGTAGTGGACTTTATTTTTTTTTTTTTTTTGTGTTTTTTTTCCTTTCGTTTTCACCCTTATTTTACACATACATATACATATACATACATATATAGAAATTGGTTGTAGCTTCTTTTTTTTTTGTATTTGGTTTTTGAATTACATTCAGTTTTTCCCCTCCGTTCTGTTTCTGATCTGCTTAGGGCTCTCTAGTGCAATGCGATTAGATGATGGACAAGTAGATCAAATAGTATATATGGTATACTCCTACGCCTCCTCATACTCTCATCTTCGACTTTTTTCTACCTATTCTACCTCAAGGACTGCTCTGCAATCGACTACTGATATTATTATATGGGAGTGCCACACCTCCGTCATCAAGCAGCCCAAAGACAAAACAACATCTAATCTTTCCTTCTCTTTCTAGATCACTTTTTTTAACCATTTTTTTTACGCACATATTGCAGAACCGGCTGAGGGGCCATACTTTTTGTTGTGGATGGTGGAAGGCAGGGGGGGGATCATAAACTATCTTGAAGGGGATTTTTTTTTCAAGGGATTGGATTCTGCTGAATTTTCTCGTAGTCTTATTTTTTGGGTTCATTTTAAATTTATTTTTTGTTTGTTTGTATTTGTTTTTTGGTCTTTTGGTTTTTCGTTTTTGGTTTTTTGTTTATTCAATAAATTTTTAATTTTCTAAACGTCATCACATTTATAAAATATATTCCTTCTTGGGGTTCGTCGTGAATGTTACTTTTAATGACATATTTCATGTAATTACGCGCTTAGTATGGAGAGTATCTTTTGTATATGTATCTTGTTTTTCCTATATTTAGAGCATGAGAAATGGGTTCACAGAAAGGGGCTGGGGCTAGGGCTGGAAAGACGTGGGCAATGGGGGGGTTTCTTTTCTCTGGGGGGGAGGGGAATCAAGAGGGGAATGGAGGGTTAGACCCTGTCTTCTTTTGTGTGGGGTGGGATCGCGGATTCTTTCTTTCTTTCTTTCTTTCCTTTTCTAAACTTAATCTTCTTCTTTTAGCTTGGCTTAGAGATAGAGTATCTATGTATCTATGTGTGCTGTCTGTGTGTGAAGGAGAGAAGTATATATCGAGAGAGAGAGAGATAGAGATAGCTATAGAGAGACGGAGAGAGGGAGATAGTTTCAATAGCAATATGCTTTTTTAATCGGATAGTTATGTATTTGTTTCTTTATCTGTGGCTTTTCTCTTTATGTATCTTTTGTATCTTTTCTCACACATACAACAACAATTTCTATAGAGAGAGAGAGAGAGAGATACGGATTATTATACTGATCAGATCTGATGCGACACGAAAAAAAAATACAATTATACTAAGATTTTCTTTGTGGTTTTTGTTTTCGCTTACGTTACTATATAATCCTCCTGTATCCTTTACCCATCATTCTGTATATTCTGCTACGTCTTTTGCTCCTCCTGCCGCTCCTTTTCTCTGGATCTTTATCTTTACTTAGATTTTACTATAGTCTTGAACTTAAGCCTAAAAAAAAACACTCTGTCTGCCTCAAATTTTGAGGGATCCTTCATCTATATGTATCTGTATCTGTATCTGTATCTGTTTCTGCGCGCATATATATATGTATGTAATATTTACGAGTATGTATTTATCTTTAGACACCTATAGCTTATAAAATGGAATGGATCCATCTCAAAACAGGGGGAATCTGAATCCATTACGCAATGCAATATCTGTATTCCCACTTGTATCTGTATCTGTAACTGCATCTTTTTGTGTGTGTTTCTTGTTGATCTGCTGGCAATCTCTTTATTCGATGCCTTATTTACAATGGGCTTATATTTTTCTATTTCTTGTGAATTTAATGGTTTTGTTGCAAGAACATGTTGCATGAAGAAAATCGTTCGTTTGTTCGTTCTGCACTTTTTTTTTTTGCTTTTTTTTTTTGTTTTTTGTTTTTTGGGCTTTGCTTTTTGTTTTTCCTTTTCGTTCCAGCTCCAGTTATTTCCCAAAGGACCTTATCTAACGACTACTTAATTTAGTGATAAAAAGGATGTACTCACGCATGCCCCTCCCCCTCTGCATTCCACTCATAGAGCGAAAAATGGAGCGGGGCAAAAAGGAGAAACGAAACGATTTGGAGAACGCAGAACCAAGGCGGTGGCTGGAAGGATCCTGGAACTGGAACGGAAAACCAGAGAGCAGCTGCCCCTTACCCCCGCGCCTCACTCACTCACTCTCTCTCTCTCTCTGTCTTTCTGCAGCTCGCTCTATGGAATATTTAGTACTTCATTCCAGTTGGCATTTCGATGGCATTTCCGGCTCCGGCTCCGGTTACGCGGGGGCCGGCTAGTCATGTCCCAGGCACCAGCGAATTCCTCTCCAGCCGCTCGCCGCCCTTGATGTCCTTCAGCTGTCCATTGCCGTTGCCTCCTCGTTGTTGTTGTTGTGTCCTCATCTTGGGTAGGGTTGGGCTGCAGCAGGCAGAGGCGTGCAGCAGAATCAGAGTGCTGCAGACAAGCATCAACATCGAGATCAAAGCCGGTGGCTGAAGTGGCGCCGAGTTTCCATGATGCATGGCCGCCGGATGTTCGCCTGCAATTGAATATCGGATACATGAGTCGCAGGTGCCATTCGATCGGAGGCACAAAGCACAGTGGCTATCGACGGGGCTGCAGGGACCTACGCTCTCAAAATGTATGCATGAAATTTGAGTTAATTTCGAGAGCATTGCCTCTGCAGACCATCCATTCGATTCTAGCCGAATTCCAGAAGCTCAGAAAACAAATAAATTATATGTAGAACTGTCGTTGTTGCTTGGGGACGATGATATCCACAACCGATTCATAATCTAAAAGACATTGACATATGCTGGCCCTCAACATATTATAATAATTATTATAGCCAATTTTGGAGTGATTTGTTTGCCAATTCTTGTCCGATTTTCGTACTTCCCAAATACGTATTTCATAAAGCATTTCCCCCATTAATGGATGCATTTACATAAGTGTTTCCAGGAGTGAGCAAAATGCGATGGCAAATATGTAAGTTCATTTGAAAGCTGCAGCACTTTTCATGCCAGAAAAATTCGCCAAAGAAGGAGCCTTAAGCTTGCATCTATAGGATGTATCTGTATCTGCATCCCTGGCTGCCGCTGCTGCTGCTGGCACTGCTTCTGGCGATGGCTGGCAAATCCAGAAGCTTTATTGCCTATTAACTTAATTGCCGGCAATAAAAACGCCAAGCTACTGGCTAAAAAAAAAACACTGAAAAGATGAACAGAAAGCAGCAACAAACAAGAGGGAAATGTACAATGGTGGAATACGAATATGGGATACCCTTTAAATGTAAAAGTTAACACAAAATTTAACAAAAAATACCACAAAAATGCAGCTTTGATTAAAAGGAACTTTAAGAACTAAAATACCACAAAAATACCAGAAAAATACTAGAAAAATACAAAAAAAACCAAAAAGAGTACAATAAAATTGTACAATAAAACAAAGAAAATACCAGATAAATACTAGACAAATACCAAAAGACTAACAAACAAAAAATACAAGAAAATTATAGAATACAAAATACTAAAAATACTAGACATATACCAAAGAGTAATGCACATATACTAGAAGATACTAAAATAACCAGAAAATACTGAATAAATGACCGATAGCCGATATTGGTGTGAGAAACTATATTCCAGATGGAAAATTATTCATCAAAGTAAATGGAAAAATGTAGTCCAATGATAACCGACTTCAGAGGAGTAGGAATAGATAAGAGGTGTATCTTTGACCTTGCCGTATCCGAGAAATATATCTGGGGTTCTTCGTACCATCTGTTGCCTCTACAGTGCTCCCTCTTTAATTACAGGGTATTGTGATGCCCAACTACTTCCTGGAGACTACTCTGAATAGGAGACGGAGAGTGGGCCATGGGCCATGGACTATGGATGCCTTGAGTGGCATCTTTGAGGGGGGGGGCGAGCGTCGGATGGTGGCTGCGGGTGGGTGGCACATCGAGCACACAGATGGCAGATACGGGAGCCATAAATTTTGGCATGAAATGCGCTCGCGGAGAGTCTCTCTGTCTGTGTTTCTGTGCGACGCGGCGACTCCTGCTTCAATTATCATGCATCGTTCGTCCTTTACGAGTTCGTTGATGCCGCATCATGAGCTGTTACTTAAGTGTCTCTCTCCCTCTACCCCTCCCTGTCTCCTGTCTGTGCTCACTCTCTCTTTTTGCTTGGAAATGAATGCAGATTTGCCAAACCATTTTGCCGCCCCACCCCCCCAAGTTCTTTGGCTGCTAAGCATTTTGAAAAGTTTTCCATGCCGAATGCTAAACGACAATGGCCGATAACCAGGAGACGCGACGTTCCAGCGTTCCAGGCATCCACTAATTACGAAGGATATAAAGCACAGAGAGAGTGAGTGAGAGTGAGAGCCAAAAGGAACGTCTGGTCTGCTTAGTTAATACGGTTTGACATAATTAGACATCGTCGGAGCCTCGAGGAGGAGGAGTAGGTGGAGTGGAGTGGAGACACAATGAATCGTTCGTCCACTTATGACAGTAATGAGGAGGCAGGAGTGAAGGGAGCAGAAGGGAAGGACGCTCTTCCACTCCTGCAGATAAAAGCGTCATAGAAACAACACTTAATTGGATTGGGGTCTCGTACCGATTGTGTGTGTGTGTGGTCGAAAAGACCGCCTGCAGGACAGCAGAAGAAGCAGTTCAATTAATGAAAATGACTTTGATGTCAGTCGACTTTTGTGCGTCTAGGTGTAATGATCGCATCAAATGCTGCCCAAAACACAAGGCAAAACAAACAGCAGTAAGCGGCTTTTGTCTTTGGCTTTGATGCTGAAGCAGCAGCATTATCAATAATGCAATAACGAAGATACACTCGTGCCTCGCATGTATAGGCGCCTCACTAGGCGGGCGGCAAGCCAAGGGGCTTAAGGACATGCGAGTGAGCAATTTCAGAGGAAAAGGAAAGCCACCAGAGAAACGAGAATGAATATGAGCCGGAAAGCCCCACGAAAGTGAGTTGGAAAACCCTTTTGGATGGGTGCCAGCACAATACAAATATGAAATGAAAAACTATTGAAACTGCGATTCGATGAAAGGAACAGCTGTCTGTCGAATGGGAATCCCGCCGAATGAAGAGAGACTTCCCAAAGGTGGGGGAATTATAGTGTTCCTCGAAGCTGAGAGCAAAAGATAAATACTATAAATACTATACCATATACTACAAAAAATAAGAAAATTCTAAGAAAATACTTGAAAAGATACCAGCTGATGGACTATAAATACTATAAAAATACCAGAAATACCAAATATACTAAACAAAATAGGAAAATGCTAAAAAATACTTGAAAAGATACCAACTGATGGACTATAAATACTATCAAAATACCAGAAATACCAAATATACTATACAAAATAAGAAAATTCAAAAAAATCTTTGAAAATATCCCAAGTGATGGACTATAAATACTTTTAAAATACTAAATATACTATACAAAAATAGGAAAATGTTAAAAAAATACTTGAAAGATACCAGCTGATGGAATAAAAATACTATAAAAATACCAGAAATACCAAATATACTAAACAAAATAGGAAAATGCTAAAAAATACTTGAAAAGATACCAACTGATGGACTATAAATACTATCAAAATACCAGAAATACCAAATATACTATACAAAATAAGAAAATTCAAAAAAATCTTTAAAAATATCCCAACTGATTGACTATAAATACTTTAAAAATACCAAATATACTATAAAAAATAAGAAAATGCTAAAAAAAATCTTGAAAAGATACTAAAATACCATAAACTAACCGCTCCGTGTATTCAAAAACGAACAATTCTCAGGCCTGTTCAAGTCTCAAATATGGTCATTCCACATCAAATAGTATCTTTGAGTCCAAGAGGTGCATATATATAAGATACTCTATGTTTCAGCTGTGAAGTTCGGCTATGATTGGTACCCAAAAAGAACCCCATTTACCTTCTTAGCTATGCTTCGATGCTCAAAGAGGAATTGGGGATGGGGTGCGGCTAATACACTTCCCTTTTCGGGGCTTGGCACCACGACTGATCTCTCTGTTTTGCCGGCATTTGGACGGCTTTTGTGTCGATTTCAATTTGGCTTTCTGCTGCCTTTTGGCTGGAGGAGAGGGGTTTGGCCGTAGTCAGATGCTTTTATTAAATAAACTACTTGGAAATGTGGTGGAAGGCGTCCCGCTGTCCCTGTCACCCTGCTACCCCATCAATCGCCATGCCCCATGGCGCTGGGCCGTGCCGGGCTGTGTGGCGTTGGCCCTGCGGCAACGTTGGGGCGCAAACAACTTGTGTTAATTACTTAAGTTTCAGCAGTTGTTCCACTTAACAAGTTGCTTGCTACCACTGCCATGGTAGTGCTACTGCTACTGCTTCTGCTACTGTTACTGCTACTGCTACTCCTGCCACTTTTCCTGCTGTTTCGTCCTGCTCCTGGCCTTTTTGCCAGAGTGTCAGCTGCTGCTGCTGCTGCTGCTGTTGCTGTTATTTTTAGTCTAATTCCAGGGGCATATTTGTTGTAGCGTGCCGCTTACACGCCAAAGTCATTTGCGCTCAAGTTGTTAAACTTTTTGCTTTGTAAGCGCTTTTTTCCGGCCTCAGCGGAAGCCGGAAGGCGAAAGGCGAAAGGCGGAAGGCGGATGGGGCGCCTGGCACCCGGCTGAGTAGATGGGGTGGCTGGGGGGTTGGCGACTGGGGAGTAGATTGGAGTCGAAAACCATCCAAAGCTCAACACACAGTGGCTGCGGCGTCTGCGGCATAAACGAGTCAAAACTTGCGCAAATGTTGATGCTCAAACTTTTTCCTCAACTAATTTTCTTTGACTTTTCCATGTGTTCCATGTGTGTGCATATATGCACGAGTATCTGTGCATGTACATTGTATGTGTGTCTGTGTACTCCTGCCTCTTGGGTTATTGGCCAATACTTGAGCTACAAATTGAGGTGGCTACAAGGCGGTGAACTTCAAGTAGATATAGGCCCAACAACTATGAGATATATGTAGCTCTGAGATTCCCAAAAGGTTTCTAGAAAAAGATGCAAATAATTTGTGAAAAATATACTGGAATATACCTATGGAAATCTATGAAAACGAGGCTCTTCGCGTAATACAGGGAAATTATGAAAAAGTATGAAAAAAACGATGTACAATATTTGTATCTTCTTCTCTAATGTTTTTAGTATTTTTCTAGTATTTTTGTGGTATTTTTCGACTTTGAAATTTCGACAAAGGACATTATCTATTTGTCAGAATGGGCCCTGCAATTGAAGTGAAAACCTATGACTTTTTTTTGGTTTTGGTCTGAAACTTGTTGAACTTTTTGATGATGAGAAGAAGATAAAAACGAGTGTGGAGGCTGTTGTTTTTTTAGCGGTTTAGCCATATAAGTACGCACCCAGAAAAATACCAAAAACTATACCAACAAATTAGTATATTTATGTTTAAAAAACATTAAGTATTTTTCTGGTATAAAAAAAAAGATTATAAAATGCTAGAAATATGTTTGTAATTCATTCTAGTGTTTTTGGTTTTTTCTATTAGCCAGAAAATACTAGAAAAATGCTTTAATTGTATTTGTATTCAAGTTTTTTGGTATTTTCCTAGTATTTTAATCGGAAATTGAAAGAATAACCCACTCGTAGCTGGAGCTCCATTTGCATTGCGGTCAAAAGCGCTCAAAAATTGTACACATACATAATTGTTGGTTCAGTCGTTTGCCCCCAGGGACTACTCTCTCTCTCTCTCTCTCTCTCTGTCTCTTTCTCTGTATGTTTAATGTCGTCTCCCCGTGGCGTCTCCAGTGTTGGGAAAAGTTGTCGTCAATCACCGGGCAAAACGCTCAGCTCCGCTCTGCTCTGCTCTGCTCAGCTCGTCTGTCAAATAAAGCCGAAGCAAAAGCTTAGTTGACTTTTGGGCGCCCGCACATTTGTCTTGCTGGAAGCCCCCACCCAGCCCAAAATGGGGAGCTCCCCACGTGGCCCAGGATCTCCTTCATTCGGACATGGCATACACTCGTTTCGACCAAAAAAGGTACATGGGTGGCTCTTTTGCATAGTGTTCGGACGTCGGACACTGTCCGGGTGGCCGGCTGGCCGGCTGGCCGGCTTTCTACTTACCATCAACGATATGGACGCGGACCGATGTGGGATTGGCATTCGAGGGGGCGCATGTGTAGAGGCCCTCATCCTCCTGTATGGCCTTCTGGACGAGGAGACGGCTGGTGGTCAGTACACCTTTCTCGGTGACTAATGATATGCCGCCGCGAGGTGAATCGAAATTTATGACCTGAAATGAATAACACCCGAAACACGAGAGAGAAACGAAACAGAACAAAAAAAGAATACAGAGCTTAGTACCACACACAACAATCAGGAGATGCCTGCTGCTCCTTCTGCTGCTCTACGAAATTTACTACAGATTTTTTTTTTGGTGGGATGGGGATGCTCGGTGGGGGTGGTCGGTCTGTGGCTCTCCAGAGCTCATGTTATTTAAATTTTTATTAATGACAGTCGTTTTAGTCTCAAAAGAGCTGACCAGGATGCAGGACTTACAACAGAACAAAAGGGAAATCATAAAGAAAAATGTAAAAGCTTCACCGATGCTGGTGTTGGTGGATATTTTGTACCTTATTGTATCTAGGATCATTCTGTAATGGAAATTCAAAAGTTAAAAATCGAAATTCAAGAGTTAGAAAGTCTTGAAAAATTCACACTTTTAAGGGCTTTAAAATGTGTTGTGTGTTTTTCTTTTGCTTCGAAAGTTTTGAGGTATTTCTTTGGTATTTAATTGAAGGAAAGGTGACCTAAAGATGGGGAATATTTCCTCAAGAACTGCATTACTAATTATATTAGATTTTTCTATAATTTCCAAAAAAAATACTTCTGTATTTCTATGGGTTGTTCAACGAATCGAAGGCCAAAACATTTCAGAGTGTCTGAAGGACACTTTCCTGATTGTTCGAGTGGTCTCAACGGTTCCGTGGGTGGCGGTGGGGGGGAATAAACACTACCACCGAACACTAATAATCGTAAAAAGTGTAAGACATCTCTGGGCAGTGGAGTGGCAGTGGTCCGGACCCTTGTCAAATGTAATTATTGATGCTGCTCTTATCCCTCGCTCTTTTTTGCTGTCATATATCGTACCCACCGTACAGTATAGACCCCCATATATAGTACACGTGCAGCTGTCATGTGGTGGGGCATTGGTGGGGCATTGGTGGGGCATTGGTGGGGCGCACTCACCTCGCGATTGTGCGACCAGGAGACGGTTGGCGGCGGTTCCGGTGCAAATTTCACAATGCAGGTTAAATTGATGGTGGATCCTTTGTTGATGTGCAGGTCGGGGCCGCCAATGACCTCGGTGATGGGTTCTGCACGAAAAGAGACCAAAAGAGAGGTTACAAATCCATTGCATAAGCACTGAAAATGGGGCATAAAACATTTTCAGAGCTCATTTCGACAATAAAAGTAAAAAAAAACACAAGAGGCGCAAGAGGCGCAAGCTCGAACAAGAGATACCCATCATGAGGGCCAATTAGTGCACAAACGATTACAGGGTATGGCACAGGTACAGACAACAGACAGCAGGATTGTGTATATCTCTATAGAGAAGGGGGCCAAGGACACTCGGAATCGTCCTCGTTTAAGAAAAGTTTATCTACCGTTGCGTTAAATTGTTTTCTTTCCTGCTGCGTAACCAGGGGTCGTATCTTAGGGGAAGAACAAGCACAGCACACAGCCCCCCTGGAATATCTCATTCGCCCCCCCCCCCCCCGTCCATGAATATTCGTGTGTGTGTGTGTGTGTGTGGGTGTGTCTGTGTGTTTGTATTTGACATTTACACGTTTGTTTACTCTCTTTATTCATCGTAAAACAATTTCTGACTTTTCGAAGGAGCAGAAAACCAAGAGAACAACGGAGGCTAAAAATACAAGCACACAAAAACGATAGCAAGAAAGTCAACCAGAATAAATGCAAAATGACAGCAGAGCCCGTAGGGGGCGGGAGAGGAGCAGCCAAAGATATGGAGATACACGAGAGAGAGAGAAAGAGAGAGATACAAAAAGATACAAATTCAGCAGCAAATTGTGTCATTAGTTCAAGGACATTGATTGAAATCTCTCTCTCTGTGTGTGTGTGTGTGTGTGTGTGCTTTTTGGGCAGCCACTATTGGAAAATATTTTCCGCCTCGAAATTCCACACCTGAATGGATCGAAGCTTTTGATACACTTTTAGCGCCATAATCCATCAAATACCAACAGATACGTTTTTATGGTATTTTTTTTTTCTAGTCTGTTTGTGGCTACAGATGGCAGACTCTTTATAATAATCCTCATACCCGCTCGGCACTCTCTCTCTCTCTATCTCTGCCACTCCTTTCTGCTCATAAATTGGGGGATTTCTTCTATGGCTTTTTTGGCTGCTCTCGCTCTCGCACTCTCCCATTCTCTATCTGTGAGTGTCTGAAAGTGCAGTAACTGTACTTTGGCTAACGGTTATGTGCCCCCTCTCTCTCTCTGGAGGTGGCGTCCGCGCCAAAGGTTAGTACAAGTTATGTACTGGCAAATGGTGGCCCAATTTTGTTGTGAAACACTCACTCGTACGAGTGCTTCGTGTCTCGTATCTCTCAATCTCCATTAGAACTCTGCCCCCCTCCCCCCCTCCCTCCTACGTCTACGTGCCCCATTTTGCGGCAGATTTGATCTCTGATGTGGGGAGGAAAATCAAGGAATTCGCGGAACGGAAGGAATAAACGTCAAAGTAAGCTTGGATTTTTGTAGGAATTTATATATGCTCTGTTCTTGTGGTACTTCTGCTGCTGAAGCTACGATCTGTAGTCTCTGTGTCTCTGTGTCTCTGTGTCTCTGGCGAATGTGTATCTGTATTTACGGGTGTGTCTGCTGCTCGTACTGGCAGAGCACAACCGTCTTCTCCATCAGGCAGTAGAGAACGGCGTAGACATCCAGCTTGAGCTCCTCGTTGCGCTGCAGCAGGGCCAGGCCTTGGAGCATGCTTTCGGCCAGATTATCTATGTCCGCCTTCAGTGCCTCCTTGGAAATGGACAGCAGCATGTCGTAGTCGGCCTTCGTGCGCTCCAGTGCGTAGGCGATTGAATCCAGCGTCTCTCTCGACGCCTCCTGGGGAGGCCCGTTCTCGTCCGGCGTCTCGTCCGCCAACTCCCGGGAAGGGGCTGCACTTTCGGCCATTATTTAACTCGTAAACAGTGAGCGACAGTTCTGTTGTAGAAACGAGTGTTTTACTATTTCTATGATACTCACACGACGAAAGGAATCTTTCGGGTGGCTTTTCCAACGAATGTTTGGGATATTTTTTTGGATAAAATTTTGGCATAAAGGGATTTGGACAGCGGGAAAGCGGGAACAATGGGGAAATGCATAAATTGTTTGACACTCTCTCCACTCAATCCAGGACACATAATCACATAACAATCGATTGACGAATGCTGCCACTGCCGCTGGCATCATCATCTCTCGGTGATTATCAAAATGTGTGCTGCTTGTGTTGCACGTACCCTATACATATATACATATATAATATGCATTGTGCTGCATCCATAATGGACTTCTGATGATCGATTCCTGCCCTGCCACATGCCACATGAGGCTGCTGCTTTTGCTGTCAATTGCAAGCTGTTTTCCCGTACAACTGCCAGCCTTTTGTCTCCGAATTTCGATTCTGGAAGTCAATCAATGGACAAAAGTGGATTTTGCATATATATATATATGTATATATGGTGTATATAAATGCGATATATGTACATATAAGCCATTAAACCAATCAACAATCGAATCGATGTGTACGTGCCTCCCATTGTGTCCTGCGCCTTGTTGACTTCTGAGGGACACAATGCCTCTCCTCCATTCAGTCGTTCGACAATTGCCTTCAAATATTTGCCTCCACCCACCGGCCCTCCCCCTCGCGGATGAAAAATTCGCCATAATTTTCCGAGCATCGTTTCGACCCCGAAAAACTATAATTTTCGTCAGAAAGTTCCGTCTTGAAGTTTTCTGTACGTTTTGGCCATAAAATCGCGCCTCGTAGAACAATGGTGGCGACAAGCGGCAACAAATTTTATTACCTCCCCGCCGAAAGAAAAGCAAACAAAAAGGATCCATGCCCAAGGATCCATTCCACCTTCTGTTTGGCTCTGGCATTCGGGACAATTCAATTGAAAAAACATAAAGGTTTATGGGCGTGTAAGCCTTTTGCCCCTCTCTCTCTCTCTCTCTCTCTCTCTGCCCCAGTAAGTGGGTGATTGTGTGATGTTATAGGGGCAGCATTATGTTAACCTTTATGGCGGCAACAGAGGCACACACACACACATGCACACCTCGTTAAAGTGGGCGAAACTTTGATACTCTACGAAGATTAGGGGATTATACACACAGAGGAGAGCCAGAGGCTTCCGAAACACTCTATCCATATGCTCAGGGTAGCGCCAGCTCTGCGTGGGTTACTGCCTGTTGCCTCTCACTGTTAACAGCTCGCTCTCGCACTCTTTTGCTCTCTTCCGATCTCAGACAGCGCTCACCGTTTCGTTGCAGGTAGGCGAGAATTATTCGCATTTCAGCAGCCGTTTGCATCGGCCAAACAAACTTACATACGACGCAGCATATATGTACATACATATACATACATATGTATGTATATATTGGACCACCAAGTCTGTCCCTACAATTATTGTTTTTGCTTTGAGTGTTTGCTGCTTCTTTGCACTCCACAGCTCAACGATTAACCACTCGCAAAATGCCGAATGCAAGATCTGCTCATAACCCGACACGAATGTGCAAGCCGAAGCAACCGACAGATGGAGCGTGAGTGAGAGAGAGAGAGAGATGCTGTTTATCTGTTTGCCTGCGCATTAACAGCGCCGTTAACAGAGCTGCTGCCCGGAGCATTGTTGTTGCTATTTACATTGGGTTTCTACCTGCAGCCGCTGATCTGTCGGCTGACCGAACATTTCCCTCTCGTTCTCTCTGCAGTGAGGCTCGGGGCGTGGTTTGCAGGAGAATGAAGGAATGCAAGAATTGAGGAACGGGATATCGAGCATCGACTTGGGGTATATTCGGCTGTACAGACATTTGTTGATGTTGGGTATCAAGCACTTGTGTGCGCTCCTGGAGATTCTTCAGCTGTGGCGGGCAGAATCTGCAATTCCTTCTCATTGATTTGTCCACCCTCGACAAGCTGTTACCCCCCCACACAGCATTCAAATTCGACCCAAAACAAAACAAAAGGAAAACAGTAAAACCAGTGGGCGAGCGAATGAGAGGGTGAGTGAGTGGACGTCGTGCGTGTGCGTGTTACCGTCCTTCTCGGGCTCCAAAGGTTGCCCCTTTTGAGAATCTTTATTTCATTGTGGGGTCGGGGGGTTTGGGCTGAAAAACATGGACATTCGATAGGTTTTATTTGTGTTTTTATTGAAATTTATTGTTTGATTTACACGAGTTTAAGTGACAGCCAACACAACACACACAGTATTTGTACGGGCGGGGGCGGGGGGTGGCAATATTTTTTGGGGGCCATAAATCAAATTCGAAAGCCCCGGCATAAAAGTTGCAAATTAGGCTACAAATGTTGACAAGGCGATTAATCAAAGTGCAAGGCAGCGGCGCAAATGCAGCAAAACTAATTCGATAGAGAGAGAGGGGGAGAGAGAGAGAGAGAGAGCACTAACCGAAAAGGAGTCATGAATCATTCATAAGCACCGTTTATACTCCGCCCAGAGATTGGAGTCCCTCCACCAGAAATTACGTTGATTAATGAGTGTCTCACACTCTCTCTCTCTGTGCTCTCTCTCTCTCTTCCCCATGACTCTGCTCGTGTCTTTTTGCATTTTGGTCACGCAGACCGCAGAGGAGATGCGATTCCAGCTACTGTTCGTTCAGTAATTGAGTCCGTAAGTGGGCGAACGAGTGTCCCATTGGCGAAGGAGAAACTAAAAATCACCAAAAGATAATCCAAATTCCAAATGGCCTCCAAGGAGGAACGGCCTCCATCTCATGCATGACCGAACTTTTGTCTGTGAATCGCATTTCTATCTCTCTATCTGCATCTCCATTTTTGGCCAAATTAAAAGTAAAAAGGTCATAAATTCCTCGTGGGAATGTGCCACAGAGTGGGGTATGGGGCATGTGGCATGCGGCATGCGGCATGGGCCAACTCCTTCTCCAATTCGAATGCGAGAGAGAATCACCGCATGAATGGCATAAATAATAAACCTACTGCATACTTCCAGGCGCCACACGCATCCGAAAGCCACGCACACACACGCACATAGACCCCCCCCCCCCCCCAGATACACACATACAGATACACAGATACAGCCACAATGAGAGGCGCTTTTGATGATTTTCCATCTGGTGGTCGGTCCCTCGTGTCGTATGCGTAATATTTGTTTAATATTAACCCAAACGCATCATCATACACAGACGGGGGGCCACGACCACGCCCCTTTGAGCCCACACAACCACTGGCACGCCCCGCATGCCCACACACACACACACACACACACACGAGTGCCCACTCCCTTCGAATGACCCGCAATTTTCCCATGAGACCCGCTTTGGCAGTCGGAGGCTTTGGCTTTGTTTTTAAAGCCGCTTTTGGTCCCCGAAATCAGGGGATAAACGTGGCGCCCGAAACAGGGGAACGGGGGGCATGGAAAGAGGAATTTGTGGATCAATAAATTAAGTCTCTAACAAAGGGGAATCTGTTTAAATTTCAGCCCAAAACAAAGGCCGAAAATAGCAGCAGGGAATGCCGCGGAAAAGTCTGACAGAAAGAAGGCAAATATCTCTCTCTCTCTCTCTCTCTTTCCAGGAGAAACGTTGGAGGCCGAGACAGTGCTGGCCAACTTTACGAGGTGGTTCTTAGCCTCCAATTCCCATAGATACAGCTACAGATAGTAGGTGCAATAGTCCTAAAAATATCCAAAGAAAACTCTCCAATTGATGGCCCTGAGAGTGCGAGAGAGAGGGGGCTTTCATCCATCCATTTCCCTGTCCGCATATTCATTAGATACTCGTATCGTGTCACTATTATTAGTCCCTTTCCTTCCCTTAGTCCCTTGACTTCCAGCATATCGTCGGTTGTCCTTCAACGAAAACCAATAACCCAGCGATTGCTCAACAGAAAACCACCACCAGGGGGGGGGGGGGGGGTCTCCCATCGATATCCTGCCATCGCTCCAAATGGAAATAGCTAACCATCGTCGCCATTTGACAAATGCTAGTAACTGACGCATCCTTGGCCGTACTTTCGTCACGAATGCCACACACTTTATTTGCTGGCATTTGGCATATAATAAGGACACGCTTTGGGTGTGCGCGGCGCTTCCTGTAACCGCAAATGTGTGTTGTGCGTGATTTCCATGCCCACAGGCACGGCCACGCCCTAACCACACCCCCCTCGATCCTGCCACCGATCCCTGGCCCCACACCTAGCCCTCCATCTATATCTTTATCCTTGTGGTCCTCCACCCCGCCCAGCGAAAGGCAAAAGTGTTGAAAGTGGAATTATGTGTGTGTTTGTGTTGACATTATAATAATGGTTTTGGTTTATGTTTATAGTCTGCCGAATCCACACACACACACACACACACACACACCCCTTGGTCCTGCCAAGCAGTGTCCCTTGTGCGAGGGACTCCCTGCAAGTCCTCGCACCTCCAATTCCCCTCATTCCCCATTCCCAGCTGGTGCTGGGGGCTGCTCTCCGTGTCCTAGGGCTCTCTCTTTCAGGCGTGTCTCCTCTCTCTGCTTTGATTACTATTCAAATATTGTGACAGTGTGAAAAATAAACAAATTTGCATTATTTATTCTCTCACATTTGTTTGTGTTTTCTCGTTGGGGGCTAGTGAGAGGGAAAGTGGATGGTTTTCTTCCCAGAAAAACCCAAAAAAAAAAACAGAAATTAATAAAACAAATTATGTCTTTGGGGGGGAAAAATGAAAGAGATTTCAAAATGAAGACAAATTAACAGAAGGCAACACATTGAAAGTGAAGCAAAAGACAGGAATTTCCACTGCAGATACAAGATACTTTTGTTGTGGTCATCAAAACTTCAGCTTTTTGGCATCCATAACTATCCGTGAGATACTCCCAAGCAGCACAGCTGATGCTCTCTGTGGTGGTGTCATTAGTTTTGTGGCTTTTTTTTTGTGTGTATCCTTCTGGGGGGGGAAATGCCCGGAGTCTCTCCTGCATAAGTTGTGATTTATGGGCCGTGGCAGGGGGCGGCGCTACCTCCGTTGCGCATCGGTGTGTCGGGTGGGCCAAGGAGTCGGCCATAAAGTGCAAATGGTGCCCAGGGGAATCATCAAAAGCAGCAAAAAGCTGCCATAAAACGGCGACGGCGACGGCGACACACAGTACGAAAAAGAAGAGTCCGGGATAGCCCGGAAATGGATACCCCATCAAGTGGTCAACATTTGGTGTTGCCAACGAAGCTTCGAATGGACACCAATGTGTGGATGCTGTTGCTGCCAGATTGGATATCAGTGTAAACATCAAAGTAGTTGGCAAATCACTCACACGTAGCACCCCCTTGAAGGAGGGCCAAAGGAGAGAGAGAGGGAGAGAGGGAGAGGCAGTGTTGGCGCCACTCTTGAGATCACGGAGCCCCAAGCCAGATACAGATACAGGAAATATATTTACGACTATTTCGATTACTCACCCACAATATTCAGATAGACAGCATGTCCGATGGGTGGCGTTGTCGAGATCTGGCACTCGTAGATGCCCGAGTCCTTGCGCTGGGCATAGCGTATGCGCAGGGACCAGTCCTCGGCGTGCGGCGAGTGCTGGGCCTCGAATCGCTGATCCGACGTGTACGTATAGCGGCCGACAGTCAGCAGATGGATGTCCCGATGTCGCACCCAGGAGACCTGCAAACAGAGGGTAAGAGCGCACTTAGTGACTGTGTCGGAGGGTCCTCGGATGGTGTCCGGCTGGCTTTTAATTGCGCGCTTAGGCCGTGTGTCCGTCTCTTAATTGCTGCACAGACAGGACAAACAATTTAAATGCCAAATTGAAATCGAATGTGGGCCCAAAGGCACCACTTTATCCTCCTTTGTGCCCACATTGAGGACGTGCAAAGACCCCTGCCCCTGGTCCCTCTCCCTGCCCGCACTTCTGTTCTGCTCTTTGAGCTTTACGGCCTGTGGTCCCCGTGTGGTCCGAGGAGCTCGTGAGCCTCTTAAATGGTGGCCATAATTGCGCGAGCGCCCCAAAGGCCTGGCTAGAAGTCCAAAAAAGAGGCCCAAAAAATCGCTGGATTTTGCCGGTTACATGGTGGATTTTTCCGCAACAAAGGTGACGTTTTTTTTCGGTAACCAAAGGATGGCCAAAGCCCTCCAAGAGTGGGCCATCGATTTGCCCAATCATTCGAGTCCCCAAAAGGCCTCAGCCTCGATGTCGATTGTCAATTTTCTGGGATAATTGGTGGCTGGAGGTCCTGTAATTATCACGCAGCGGAAACTTTATATGCTCGGCGATTTTTTGGTTGGCAATTAGATAATTACGACAACATTATTAGCAAATTAATTTTGATTTTATGCGGCGGAGTGCCAAAAACCCAGAGAGAGAGACGGCATACATGCGTACATAAATGGATATATATATATATACATATATAAATCCATGTATATGGCAGATATTCCAATTGCAAATTGCGCATTTTTGCAGTCCTTCCTGCTGCTGTTTGTCGCTGGCATTCGGCCAAATCATTTGGCAAAGGAAATCCCCGCCAGGATCTATGTGTGCGCCAGTTGCAGAAGGACGTGCCAGAGGCACAAAATAATTCGGGGGATCCGCGGCTAATGAACAATGGATTGCAGCTATGGGTAGTCCTCAAAAAAGGGCTCAGCATGCTGTGGTTGTTCTTCCAAATATTCGGGATATTTACCTTTGTATTTCGAGCGTGGCCATTCGCCCCGAGCCCTGCTGAATGGCAAAATGCCAGTCAACGGGTGGAACGCGGAATGGAACACCCTGCTAGCTCGCGTCAGAAATGAAAATCGCATTACAGGAGCAAAAACACAAAAAGCGAGAGGGGCAAACAGAGAGATGGGGCATGGGGCATGGGGCAAGGAACCACCGATAAAGTCGCCGCTTGGACTCGTCCTCGTCCTGCCGATAAGCGAAGCGTGGGCGGGATGTGTCCCCCAAAGTCGCGGTGACAAGTGCATAAAACGAGGCATCATCGAGGCCATAGGCCAAGGACATGAGGCATTCGCTAAGGCTTAAATATCATATTTGGCGGGGCATGGAGGACCCTTCCATGGTGGTGGGAAATTCCCTTTAACTGTAGGAAATCCCACGGTTTCGAGTCTGTTTTTGCCGTCTCTTGTTTTTCTTTGCTCTGGCGACAGTTTTTTTTTGGGGGGGGGGGGCATGTGGCATGGGGCCTGGCTTATGTTATGGAGCGAGGTGTGCGGTTCCTGCAGCTTAAAGTTTGCGCTGCGTGAAACTTTTTAGTTGCTTGATATTCCACGGACGGCCCGGGTGGCACGATGCTCGTGTGGCAGGGAGGCGGCCAGGGAGGCAGGGGCAAATTATGTGATGTCCTTGCTGTTGAATATGTATGGGATGTACCTCCCTCTCCCCCCCCCCCCCCCCCCTCTCTGTCTCTGTCTCTGTCTCGCTTTATAATTTTCCTTTTACTTTCCTTTCGAGTCTTTAGACAAGAACCGAGATGTTTGTGCGCCCCCAAGAAGTTGTTTGCTCAGTTTATTGTTGCCATTGTTACCATGCCACATGCCACATGCCACATGCCACTGCCACACAGCTGCAGCTGCACGTGAGTGGTTGCTGATTGGGGAGCTGCCATTCGACTGGTCTTCCCGCTGAGAGAATCGCATCGCATGAAGTGCCAATCAGTGTCCTATGACCTCCCCCTGGAGGATTTGGCTTGGAGTTCGAGCAAACACCTTTATGGCTGACAAGCGTGAATTTTCTTTGAGCGAGAGAGAGACTTGCACAAGTCCCAACTGAGTGAAAGGGAAAGACAAGAAAGGAAAAACCAAAAGAGCAGCTTCAAGGATGGTCTATCGATGTCGTCTCCCGCCATAAAAAGACTTGGTTTTCGGTCCCACAAATCCAGCAACAAAACACACGGTCTTTACGTAAGAAACCTGCAAAGGTTTGCCTTTACCTGACTTTACCCCAGACCTGTCTTAGTTTTTCCATTATTTATATGATTTTTTGGAATTTTTTCGACCATTGACCTTTGCTCTTATCCCATAAAATGCACCCCATATATATACAGTTTTTTTTTTAAAACAAATAATCTCTTTAATTTATATCCTGTTTGTGTGCCTCCCCTCCCCCCGCCACCATCCGTTTGGCTTCCACTAATGACATTTTCGGGGGCTTTTGAGCCAAGAAATTCTCGAAATAAACAGGACTGCAAAATGCATATAATAATAATAATCACATTAAATTAGAAAATTCTGCACTCATAATTTTTGCTCATTTCTGGCGCTGTCGCCCACTTCCGGGCACGCCTCTTTTGGCATGGAAAAACGGGGAGGGGGGGGGGGGGGGGGGGGGAGCCAGCGAGTGGATGCCAAAAAAGCCGGCGGGGCCAAAGGATGTTTGGATTTTCGAGCGCGAATATCGAAATATAATTGCAGAGTGAAACAGAGATAGGGTGGGAGAGGCAGGGAGAGGCAGGGAGAGGCAGGGAGAGGGAGGGAGAGTGGTAGAGGGAGAGACTTGTCTCCCCAATTTGTGTGCAACGGAAATCATCTTTTGGAGCATCGTAAATTGCATCGCATTTGAAATTTTTGCGAATAAGAAGTTCAAAATGAAATCAAAATCCAATCAAATTTATGCACAACAATATTTTGGAGACCCACCCCCCTACCACCCCCCTTCCCCCCCTTCACTCCATTGGATTTTCATTGATTTCAAAACGGCTTTGAATGCCTTGAAAAACCGAGCATCAAGCACTCGGGGCGAAAGCCTTCATTCGAGGATGACATTCCTTACCCCCCAAAAAGCAAATCATTGCTCATTACAGTCGAGAGTTCTATAGAGGCAACAACGTATAGACCGGAAAAATTCAGTACCATATAGAGTACATTTTGTAAAAAAAGGTAAAAAAAAAAAAAAAAAAAAAAAAAAATGCATGGTACTTTTGGATTACTAATCAAAATTCCGTATTCATTTCTTGTGTATGGACTCTGTCGCAGTGCCGAGTACATAGAGATCTTTCAAGATGATGCCGCCGCCGTGGAACAATCCACCGCCCGTGCCCGTTTCCGATTCGGACTCTGAACTGGGCTTTGACTATGAGAACGAGGTGTGGGCGAGGGAGCTGCAGGAGGAGCAGGAGGAGGAGGAGCTGAAGGAGGAGCAAGAGGAATGGGAGGACGAGTTTCATCTGCCCAAGAACTACTTTAAAAAAATGTAATGGCGGCACGACACAACAACAACAACAACAACAACAACAACAACAAAAACAAACCACAAACCGCCTTGTGATTCGTAGAAAAATGCCATAAAATCGAATAAAACGATCGTGCCCCTGAAATGCTTTTCTTTCGCCCTGCGATGGGTCTAGGGGCAACCACGATGAGGGGAGGAGGGCCCCCCCCAAGAGAAAGCTGGACTCTCATTTAAGCTTAAAAGTCAACCAATTGTTAGTTTTAATGGGAATTTATTGGGTAAATATTTGACAAAAGAGGAGCACAGGACTTGTGCCTTGTGTCGAACATTTGTCGTCGTCCGTTCGCTTGATTTAAGATTAAAAGTTTTGCTGTCCATCCCACCCCCCACCCCCCCACCAGCCACTCTCCACCCCTCATTGGCTTTGCTTTTAATTTATTTTGAATGTTTTTCTTTTCTTTTTGGCTTTTTGGGAAAAGTTTGCCACTATATGCGATATTTTATGGGTCGTCTGCTGGTTCTTATGATTTATGCCCCGAGGGGGGCAGAATATCATCCGACATCAGCATGACAAAGCTTTTGTTATGCATCTTTTAATTTGGTCAATAAATGTCCTTCCTGCCCTTCCTGGCGGAAGGGGGCAGAAACTTTGCGGCAGGACTTTGATTAGCCCAAAAGGATGTGGGACACAGGGCAAAGGGCACATGGCCGTTAGGGCCAATTTGCTTCAACACGTTCGCTCATTAGTTTCCCCCCTCTCAGCCCCCCTTCCACCCCCTTTAAAGTCATGCCATGGCGGCCTGAAAGATTGGCCTTGTCAAACAATGTCCTCGGGGCGACCACTGCTCGGCGCCGAGTCCTTCGCCTGGGAATAGAGTCCTGCAACGGGGAATTATCTCTCGCATTAGGTTCTGCTAATAATCCTTAATCAAAGAGCTAGCGCTTCTCTCTGTGGGATTTTAAACCCCATTTTTTTTGGTAACTCCTTTCAGTTGATGGATTTCGGAGCAAAGGCAGGACTTCAATGGTTGCCATTCGATTGGCAATACGGAATTGAAGCTAGTCTCAATCATTAATTACTGAATTTTACAATATTTCCCAAATATTGAATCCTGTTTGTATATTTTGGTTATATTTTGATGTTTTTTTCAATGACATTTGACTGGTTTATCCCATTCGGAAGTACTTTGATGACATTTGTTCTGTAACTAAAGTGTTCTATAAGTCAGTGCGTCTATTTTTCAAACACTAGTCGTGAAATATTCTCATTCTCTTAGTGATTATCTGTAATTATTTAAACTATGTTAGAATGCTGCCTTTGTGAGCCTTATATAGCCTCTAGAAATATTTTTGGTGCTATTTTTCTTTACATTTCTATAAATTTACCGTTTCTGAAAACACCATTATCGTCGGAAAACAGTTCTATAAACGATTCTCAACCGAACTTCAGCCGTTTCTTAACCGTTCTTTCTCAATTGTTTCTCTACCGTTTCTC